ATTGTCACCCTCTTCACGAGGCCAATTCTCCCCTGCAGGTGTTGTGGTGGTAGATGTGGAGCTGGTAGTCGTAGGGGCACCCATGATCTCCGCAATCACCCTGTCCGTTTCTTGCATCTCATCCCAGCTGGGTGTACGTGGGACACCAGGTCGAACTAGAGGCGTCGCTGGCATTATTGGCGTGACAGGGTTGCCCTGTTCGTCAAACGGCGTGGTCATTCCATAATGGGTTGTCGGTGCACTCGGTATGAGGTGGAGGGGTTGTGGAGGAACCCGGCTCCTGAAGATATGCCCACGAGGAGACGGCCCTGGTGTACGCCCAGTGTCTGGCGTGCGTGCGGGCACGTTTATCCGAGCCTGCGTAGCAAGCGTCCCCCTCGGTGTTACCGGCGCTGGTCGAGTCACCCCAGGCGGAGGCCGCATCCCGGTAGTACCTAAAGGTAAAGATGGCATCGACGAAGGCGGAGACTGCATCGGCGAAGGTGTTGAAGAAGCTGAGGCAGTCGACATCACCCCAACGCTTGTCACCCCACTTGAAGGTCCGACCTCCATAGCGCCAGTTCCACTGGACCATTTCCGCATGCGAGCGCTTTTGTCCTGCGTGGGTACCAAGTGGTCTCCTCGCAACCTGAACCCCAAGCCCTGCCACAGGTCCCGAGGGTTGTGGCGTCCGGAATCTTTCCCGGTCCCTCATCTGGTGTAATCGGAGGAGGTGCGCCTCCCTTTCGCGAAGTACTTCTTGGGCCCGGGCAGCATCCTGGTCTGTGTGGGCTAGAAGGGCAAGCGCAACGTCATTAATCATGCCTCGCCAGCGTCGAGCCCAGTCGGAGTATAGTGCAGGTGCATCGGTTCATTGGCGGGTGGAACCGTACGTGGCTCGTCAGGCGGACGAAAGATGGAGGTCGCAATCATGGCGGCAAGACGCGTGAAGAGGCCACCAAGCTGCCTAAACTCACCCGCCGCCACATGTGCCGCCCATCGAACCGACGGAGGGTGTCCATACCTTTCCGCCCCATATGTGTCATTAAGCACTCTCTGGGCGAGAGGTTGCAACAGGTCATGCGCCCAATCAACTCCAGCCGGTCTGGTTGTAGACGGCTCAATGACCATCGAGAACATCGCCGGTTGTTGATCCAGCCCCATAAGCAAGTGCCCCGATTGGTTCGCGGCTCCCAGCAAGTCTCCATCCACCAATTCTTGCAGTGTCAGTTCTTGCAGCTGTTGATCAGTGGCATCAGAGACATAGTCACCCAACTCACCCAACGTCGTCCCAGGTTGCGGAGGTTCCCCAGTTTGCGAGGTGGTAGAAGTCGTAGAAGTCGAGGTGGAAAGCGACAAGCCAAAAGTCACCCCTGTGCCACTTGTAAGGGTCACCCCGAGGACTGGCAGAGGAGTATTGACCTCCAACTCCTCAAGTGACATCGTCGTCCCAGGGTGAAGGGTAGCATCAAGGGAGATGGGTATGGTGGGGTCATCCTCACCCAGGGAAGTCATCCATGACGAAGAAGGCAGGTGCGATTGCTGGTCGTCTCCGAGGTGCTGGTGCTGTATGATGTTCTCCGTCTGTTCATCCAAAGTCCCAGACGTTGTGGAGGTGGTGGAACTCATCGTAGCGGAAGGGAGCATCCCAGTCGAAGAGGTCAATGAGGTCACCCGCTGAGATACAGGTGAGAAGCATGATAAGCATGTCGTCGTAATCGTGGATGTAGGTGAGGAGCAGGTTGTAGGTGATGGGCAAGCTGTCGTGGTCGTAGATGTCAAAGAGGCTGGCGAGGTGAAAGTAGGGGAAGTACACATATGCATAGAAGTTGTACCGCAGCTGGGGCTGAAGGTAGACATCGAACACGGGGGTCGCCCCCCAACCACCAAGTGTCCCAGAGCCACAGACGCATCCAGGAAGAGGACGCGAAGAAGCGTGCCGCCCAAGCTAGAGAGACACCGCGATGCCATGGCAGAAGGGAGGGGCAAACAAAGTCACTCGAGCAAGCCGGCTGTCATCTCACCTCGTCCGCCATGTCAGCAAAGTGCAATGCTTCATTCAGGTTAAGACAGCGAAATGACATTCAACTTGACCACATCGTCACTGATTTACCCATTTGTAATAGCAGTCTGTCTATGTCTGCCCCAGAGGAGGTCAGTATGCTTAAGCCACACCTCCCTGAGCATTTGCCACCCATCTCGATCACATGCTTGGTCCATCCAATTCGTCCCCAGGGCTTCAGCCAGTTCTCTTTCGAAGTTGGCCGGGTGAAACGTTCGCGGGTGCCTAATACCTCCCGCACGGACAGTGATGTGTTGTTGTCCTCTCCACCATCGAAGGCATCGCCACTGCAGGAACTTGGCAGTAATCCCGGGACTTCCATTGACCCCCCTACCGTCATCTTCCCATTGACGACACCAATGTCCAGCCAGGCCGAATTGTAGGTTACGTACTCGTGTGCTCCATCGATCATATGGGCTATTGTGGAGCCATGCCCTCACATGGCGCATAGTCCGCTGGTTCCACGCAAGCCAGTTTTCGTCGGGCTGGCGCCCCAGGTGGAAGATCTCTCTGAGCACATGCATTTGCATGGTGTTGAGCATCTGGAGATCATCAACTGCCCAGTAGACAGCTCCGGCCACCCACGTGACAGCCCCTTCAACCAACATTCGAAGCGCAAAGACTTTGTTGTTCCAGGAAGCCCTGCCTCCAAGTAGCGCCCTATGTTGTCCAAAGGCCGCCCGGAGTCTCGAAATGAGTTCCCGAGCTTGGCGGCTTTGATCTCCATCAAAGGTGAACTCTAGGCCAAGTACTCGGATGGGCTCATGAGGAGGCCGCACAGGGATGACCTCATCACGAAACTTGACATCCCTGCCCCCAACATAGTCAGTCGTACTGATGACCGCCGTCTTTTTGCTAGCCAGCTGCAACCCAAGGCTACCAAGGGGCTGATTAATCAACTCTAATCTCGTAGCAATTCCCACCGGCGAGGGGTCCCAAAGAAAGAGGTCGTCCTGATACATGAGCAAATCAACCTCGAGATCATCAATGGGTTTGGAGAGTAGTTGCCATTTCCGTCCGGCCCTCATCTCATCCAGTGCAGCTTCGAGTACTAGCGCAAACAGTTCTGCTGACTCCGGTGCACCCTGTCGAATGCCAGTGGTGCAGTGGATGTTGATCTGGTCTCCACCGGGTACCGGGCCACCAAGAAAGTTGGACTGCAACTGGCCAATCAGGTACCTGGCCTCACGCCCCAGTCCAACGTGGGTCAACTTATCGCAGAGGAATCTGGCGACAGCCCTCCGATCCAATGCATCAAATGCACCCCTGATGTCAAGCTTGGCTATGAGAAGCGGGATACGCCATTCTTTGCACATGTCTCGGAGACGTGTGAAGCACCCCACAAGGTCAGCAGCCTGACGACCTTTGCCGCAGCAAGCGAACTCTGTCCCTTTGCGCAAGGCTGGAAAAGTCCGGGACATCACGAGCCGACTGGTAAGTTTCTGCAGTGCAGAAGACATGGCAATGGGTCTAAGCTCATGTGGACCTGTCGGTACATCAACTTTAGCCAGTAATGCCAGCAACGAGTGTCTCCAGGATTCTGGCGCAAAGTTGTGGAAGATGACGTGGTTGATGATATCAACAAAGTCACCCCTGAGCGCATCATGGTCAACCAACTTTCTCAACAGATCAACCCCAATTTGATCAGGCCCTACCGAGGATTGCGGCTTCATCTTATTCAATTCCCCCCTGATTTGGCCAACTTCAAACGGCTCCCAGTGATCCTCAAGCGGGACGGCAGCTATCATCGACTGCAAGTCTGCATCCCATTCGTCAGGGGGGGGGCACACATTTTGGAGGCCAGATGTGCTGTAGTCGCATCCGTGAGCTGCTTGCTCGTCCTCGATTCCAGCATTCGCCCCCACCAGCCTGACTTCTTGGCCTTTTGGATCTTGCGAGCACGGTAGGCAGCCCAGTCACCCTGCAAAATGCAACTCACCCGCTGTTCCTCCCACCGGCGACGGGCTAGTTTGCGAAGACGGTGCACTTGTCTCCAGGCTTGTTTGTCGCCACGGCGGTGAGCTTCCTGGATGGCTTCCTTAACTTCGGGCGGATCCTCATATTTCACCCCTCGAGCGCTCCTGGTGCACTGCTTGGCAAGGTTCACGATGTCATCCACGTCCACCAGTGGGGTGTCCGGCAATTCACGCACAACAAATCGTGCCTTGGAGGGCGTGCACCATCTGCCTTTGGTGTTCTCTAGAAAGGCATGAACGTGAAGAATGGCATGGTCGGTCCCAATTTTGTGACGTGCAAGCGCATCAATGTGGACCTCCCCAACAGGTAGTTGACGACCCCAAATGGCATCTATTTGACGTCCTTCTCGGCGTTCGTCCCTCGGAAAATGAGTCGCCTTGTTGCGGTCTTGGGTTCTTGGGGCGATGGGTCTCAGTCCCGCTCCAACCAACTGATCACAGAGGTAATTGAGATTGGTACTGCCAGCCAGTATGTCACTTGATCCCTCCTGGTCCTCACCTCCCCATCGAATGCTCCCATTAACGTCGATCCCCAAGATGCAGGGATGCATTCTCCATTTCCCCCGCAGCGAAGCAAGAAATTGCGCCGCAGCTTCCTGGTAGACCTTGTTAGTAACACCCGTGTGCCCGTGCATGGTCCCCAATAAAACACTCCCCCTTCCTTTCAGCTTGACGAGTACGACGATCCCTCGCGATGTAGCCTTTTTGGAGATCACAGAGTCAAACACTTCGTACGAAATCCCTATCGCTGTGCCGCGCCACTGATCTTTGCAACGGTGAGTCACCCAAAAATGTGTATCACTTTCTTGTTCAGTCCATCCAACGTCACCCCTTGCAACTTCCTGTGTTAGGAAGATGTCGGTGGTCGGTTCAACCAAGGCAAGTTTATCCGCGGTCTGACCACCCAAATTCCAGCTGGATATACGGAGGGAGCTGGCGGTTCCTAAGGAAGAGCCAGAAGTGAAACATGTTTCCGCGCCCATTCACAGTTCCCTTTGAAGGGCCGAAGCGGCCTCTGCCCAGTCAACCCCCGTGAGCGAGGTCACCGCACGAATATCCACCCAGCCTTGGTTCAACTGAAAGAAGTCATCGGGCCGGTCAGAGTCCTTCCGGTGTGTAGCACTTGCCAACTTAAGCGGGCCGTGCCAGATCGTGCCTGTCCCCCAGTCCACGTCATAGCCTTCCGGAGTGATCGCCTCAGCATTGAACGTCTCCCCATCTTCCTTCTTGCCGATGGCCGCAAGCTTCATCACGACCCGTCTTACTAGGGAGCACATCGCCGACCTTTTCCGGGCCTCGGGTGTCTTCATGAACGATGCCCAAACAGCTTTACCATCACCAACTTCACCCCGAGTGCTGTCCAGAATGATCTTGTTTTGTCGGATCTTAGTGACAACTTCCCACATACGAGCACGTAGGGCCACTGATGTCTCCTGATCCCGCTGCTTGAAGCGCAAGAGCCCAAAGCTGCGACGAGGGCCGAAAACCACAAGGGAGGGAGAGTCAACAAGGTTCACAAAGTTCTCATCCTTGAGAATGCTTTCCGCCTCATTCTGTATGGTCGCCCGCTTGGTATCCGGGAGCCATCCACCAAAGATAAGGGAGTTCTTATCCTCATCACTGAGTTCATGTCGACGGTCTTCCCCGGGATTTTGACTTGCTTGTCCATTTCCTTCCTTGAGACGATGCCCCCCTTTTTGTCCACCCTTCGTATGGTTGAGGTAGTCTTGCCATGGGTCGGGTCCGTTCTTATTCACCGTGGACTCCGCGTTGGCCGCTATCTCATCCACCCGGGTCCTCAACTTGGTCAACTCACCCTCAAGCTCCTCGGTCTTGCGCGCTGTGGCATCCCCTTTGGCTTGCACCCCCGCCATCTTTTGATCGCTCTGCTTCTGCTTGAGATGCACCGCCTTGAGCTCTTTGCCCTGGTTCTTAACGACACCCTCAACCTGTTGAACTCTGGATTCAATGTTCCCCCATGCGGCTTTTATCTCTTGCAAGTGCTGGCCAAGAAGAGCCTTCAATTCGTCTGTGGACATGCCCGCACTTCCCGATGAGCTGGGTCCTCCTCCACCACTTCCCCTCGGCTGTCCTTCACCCCCAGGTCTGCGGCGTTTTCCACTCCCGTGGGTCTTAGCATCCCCACCTCCTTTGGTCCAGCCAGCACTTCATCCTCGCTGTCGTTCACGACACTAGTGGGGCTGGCAGGGATAGGCACGTCATCCCCGTTAAGTTCGCCCTCCATTGGTCACAGATCTACCCTGAGTCCAAGCTGAATCGTTGGGCACTTTAGGGTTTAGGGTTTAGGGTTCAGGGTTTAGGGTTCAGGGTTTAGGGTTCAGGGTCCGGGGTTTAGGGTTTTGGGTTTAGGGTTCAGGCTGTAGGGAGGCCAGGTTCCCATTTACTTCAACTTCACAATAACGGCACCCTTGTTGACGAACTGCTGTTCCGAAAAGGGTAACCCTGAACTCAGAAACCCTAAACCCTAAACCCTAAACCCTAAACCCTAAACGCGGCCAGCTTCAGACCCAGGGCCTGATAGCCCAACACTTTCAATGCTTAAAGCCAGTCCGAACGCCTGAGCGTCAGAAGACGCCTTATACTATACTGAACTTAGACCCCTAGCAAAAATTATAATTTTAGCTGCTTCTTAGGGTTTATAGTAGCCAAAGATTAAAAATTATTTCTAAGTACCCCTAAGTATATACGAACCCTAAAACCCTAAACTCCAAAGCCCTAAACCCGAAGCCTATGATCCCTACGTAAGGCATTACCTGGAAGAGTTTCGGGCACAGCAGAATCCCAGTGCAGAAACTCATAAAGTGGAGTTCTCTAAATTAGGGGGCTCTTTCTAGGTCCCCGAAATAGTACGGAAAGCCCTATAAAAAAGCGATCCGAGAAGGGACCCTAAACCCAAAGCCCTAAACCCTAATTTGGAAGACTACCCACATGGGCTCAAGAGCTGCAGGGCTCAAGGGGCTTAGGGCTTGGAAGAGCGAGGGTTCAAGCGGCTTGGTGTTTGGAAGAGGTTTAGGGTTTAGGGTTTAGGGGTTTGGAGTTTAGGGTTTAGGGTTTAGGGTTCACGAGAAGAAGGTTTAGGGTTGAGTGTTTACAGTAGGATGCAGTTCCCGTGTCTTGCTGGTCAAACAAAGCCTTCACAAAGGCTCCACCACCAAAGCATCGTGTACAGGCATCCAAGCAAGTGCACAAACAGGAAAACCCTAAATCCTAAACCCTAAGGGTGATCCCGGACTTTCACTGTGATATTTTTGGGTGTTTGGGGGCCCCTCTCCCTCCCATCCCCGAAACGGGCCCTGGACCCAGCAATGCTGCAGCGCAGATCAGAAGAAAGCCCCTAAAACTCAGCAACACAACAAGTTTCAGAAGCCTTAAACCTCAATCCTTTAAACCCTAAAAACCGTAAGAGCCCTAAAACCTCTTTTAAACCCTGAAAGCCGCAAGAGCCCTGCGAAAGTAATCCTCAGGGTCGGACTCAGTGGAGGCTGCGTGTAGTCAAACTGTAGGCAGCGGAAGCCAAGGGAGGCCAGGACTTCCTGCCGCTCCTTGGGTTTCTAGGTTAAGGGTTTAGGGTCTAGGATTTAGAGTTGAGGGTTTAGGGGTTCAGGGTTTTAGGGTTTAGGGTTTGTACGGTTTAGGGTCTAGGATTTAGAGTTGAGGGTTCAGGGTTTTAGGGTTTAGGGTTTGTACGGTTTAGGGTCTAGGGCTGAGCAAATGCCTAAGACCCAATGCCCCACACCTAACAAAACTACACCTTAAACCCTAAACCCTAAACCCTTAGGGTTGTTTAGGGCTTGGCAAAGCACCCTAAACCCCTAAACCCGAAACCCTAAACCTGCAGGGCTGAGGCTTCTTTAGCACGTTTAGGGTTCAGGGTTGTAGGGCTTTAGGGTTTTAGGGCTTAGGGTTTAGGGTTTTAGATTTTAGGCTTTAGGGTTTAGGGGTTTAGGGCTTAGGGTTTTAGGGTTGTAGGCTTAGGGCTTTGAGTTTCGGGTTTCTGATTTGGGGCTTTGAACTTCCTGCCGGTCCTGGTGTCCGGCGGTTCAGAGATGCTTTGCAGAGTTGCTTCAAACAGGGCTTCTAGAAGGGGTCGCTAGGTTTATGGTTTAGGGCCGTTTCTGGTGTAGTAAGGTTCAGCTTTTGGGCTCCGCACGTAATTGAAGCTAAGGAGGTTTTAGGGGCTCTTAGCCTTTGGGCGATGGGGGTTCTAGAGGTTTTGGGGGTGTGGGGCTTCAGAATCTTTGGGGCTTCAGCTTTGGGGCTGTCGGGTTTAGGGTTTCGGGCTAGGGTACACGAAGGCAAAGCCCCTCAGAGGTTGGGGGTTGCCGGAGCCATCACTAAGTCGTTTCGCCACCACCCTGACACCTTAGAACCAGCAAGCCGAAGAACTCAAAAACCGCAAATCACCACAACCTACATTCCGAAGCCCTGAACAAACAAAAAACCTTATCAACCCCTTAAACCCTAAATCCAAACAACCATCAAACCCTCAAGCCCCACCGCGTAAAATCACAACGAGAAACAATCCCTGATAGAGTGGCCTTAACAATTAGAACAGACCTGAACGAGGCTGCAGGGTATGTTTAATTGGAACCCGTTAAGGAATACTATTACAATTCTTCCGGTCATTACTCCGGCCCCTATTCTAACCACCCTGACGGGGAAAGTGAATGTCGTTTACCAGGCCTTGGGGTCCATGATGCCATCCTCGACATCCTGGACTAGTTGGGATTCGGGGTTTGGGTTCTGGGTTTTCGGGCTTCGGGTTGTCGGTTGTAGAAGCAGTGTCTGGAGCTTGAATACCTTGGGCACGGTGTTGCTGTGCCTGTTGGGGTTTCGGCACCAAGCACACAACCTCTTATCAAACTTGTGACGTCTGACTAGCTAACTCCCGCTTGCAAGAAACATTTACCACGAGGATTAGTACAGGTAAATGGAAGCTAAATACGGCCTCGCTGAAGGTCTTGTGACGTCGGGGTTGATAGAAACGCCATGGGATCTAGAGGGTCAAACGAATCTGCGTGCGGCAACCCAACAAGAACTCTCAACATCACAAGAACACTCAACATCGGAACTGCAATTTGGACTCTGCATGGTCGAAATCCCACACAGCCCCAACCCCCGACAAAACGGCAATCGCACAGGTGCAACCTTCGAACACCTACAATCAAACCTCCGTAAACATCATCAAACACCCTGAGACCCCCCTCTCAGTCCGAGATTTTCGGCATTCTTATAATTTTATTACAATATTTTGTTGCAGCATTGTTATAGCAAGTTTCTATAATATTCTCTAAACCCTAAACCCTAAACCCTAATATGTAACCCCCAACAAGAACGCCATGGGCTGACTCCGCCTCGGCATGCGTCTCCGCGAAAATGGCGGCCTCATGGCTTCAGTGCTGTAGTCTAGGGGCTTAGGGTTGGGGTTTAGGGTTTAGGGTTTAGGGTTTAGGGTTTAGGGTTTAAGGTTTAGGGTTTAGGGTTTAGGGTTTAGGGTTTAGGGGTTTAGGGGTTTAGGGGTTAGGGGCTTCGGGTTTGGGGGGAAGCGATACTAAAACTTAAGTAGGATTTTTCCAGCTTCGTATATATATATATATATATATATGTATATATTGTTTACACAGATGTGTATATACACATACATATGTATATATATATACACACATGCATCTTAACTTCTTCCCCCTTTTACAATTCCCGCGTACTATATATCATTTGCATGCCAAATAGTAATGTTAAAGGCTTTGGCTTTCAATCTTCCCATAAGCTACACCCTTTCTCCGGCAGGTGACAGACCCTGAGTCCTGCGTTCCTGAGGTTGTTGCAGCCTGAAGTTCCCCGGCCAAGGTTGCCGTCCTAAGTTCCTGCGGTCCCTGCTGGCTGCAGGTCTTGCAATCCTGAAATAACCCTAAGCTATACATTCTTGTGCTCACTCGGTCTTGCAATCACAAAGTTTCGGATGCTGGGATAGTCCTTAAACCTCTAAGCCTAAACTCTGCGAGATTGATACAGAAAGAGAAGCTTCGTTACAGGATATATAGTAATTCGTGAACCCTTGGGAAAGTGTCTCCCTGATAGGCCCGAAATGTACTGTAATTTTGGCCCCTTTTACTTGCGGTGCATTCTGGCCCGCTCGCCGAAAATATATAATATAAGAAGAGTTCAAGAATAGGAGAAGAGATTTTGACGTATCAAGACCTCTAGTATCCATACTATCCTAGTTTTATATACCGTATCTACATCTTTGTCATTTACTCTCTATCTCACAATCTCTCTATCTATGTAACTGATCAGTCGAAGCTAACCTAAGCTAACCTCAGCTATCTATTTATCTATATCTAACTATCTATCTAGCCAACTATCTAGCCAACTATCTAGCTAACTATCTATCTATTTATCTATCTATCTTTCTATTTATCTCTACCTATCTACCTATCTAAGAATCTACCTATCCATCTATCTACCTACCTATTCATGTAGGTATCTACTGGCGCTTTCCTACTTATTTCTGTACTATTGTCGTTGGCGTACATGCCGTCAATTATGTGTGCACGCATCCAACCGGTCATGCATGTAGATTAATTGCCCTAAGGGTCCATGTACTCATATAGGATATACATTGGCCCCAAAGTACCTTTTTAGGGACTACTTTAAGGCCAAAGTATCTCTATCTGGGTACATGGACCCTTAGGGTTAGTTCATTCAGATATGCGAAAGAAGCGTTGGCAACCCTAAACCACAAGCCCGGGACCAGGCCAGAGCTGGCTCGCTCCGCTAGCTGTGCCTGGCTTCACTTCGGTGCTTTCTACGTTTTGGTTTAGGGTTTAGGGTTTAGGGTTGAGGGTTGAGGGGTTAGGGGTTAGGGGTTAGGGTTTAGGGTTTAGGGGTTAGGGTTGAGGGTTTAGGGAACCCTAAACCCGCTAATTAAACCCTCAACTTGTTATAAGGATTGGGGTGGCTCGGCGTGTCAAGGCTTTTAAGCTAGGTTTTCCTCAGGGTCATGTTGGGCTCGAGCGGTTTTAATTTGACGGGTTTTGGGCGGTCTGGGGTTGGGATGTCATTGGGGTGCGGAGGCTTGTGATTCGGAGTTCCGGGGATTGAAAAGTCTTAGGCCGTTAGGATTTTAGGATTTGGATATTTGTTTTTTGGAACAATGTGCCAACATGTTTCAAACTTCAGGGTATATGGGGTGGACTACAATAGAACTGCTGCCATGATACAAAC